TTAGCTAGATTAATGATGTTTTTACTCTGATTAATTTCAATCACAAACCAGATCAGACTTCAACACTTATAAAATTATACACAAAGACCAGAAATCTATCATATCAGATCAGTTCGGAGAAGATCATAGCGGAGTAAAAAAATTTAATTCAATTAAAAACAAAAGACAATTAATCATTCAGCAATTTGGAACGAGAGTAAGCTAAGAGTGGGTTTAGTTTAGCTTAGGAATGAAAAAGACGTAACTTGTTTAGACTTTCTTTGCAACTACTTGTGCTTAAATAAAAGCACTTTTTGATAAAAAATGATTAGTAAAAGTTGGCATGTGTGGTAAAATAAGTGCGTGTAATAGAAAAAGTAAAAATTAGATTCTACACGGAAGCCGAGAAAGTAAAAGTTAGTAGTGTTTGGTAAAATAAGTGCTTTTTTCTTAAAAAAAAAAGCCAAAATCACTTTTTTTAAGTGGTTGCAAACAAAGCCTAAGAAATATTTATTACGGAGTAGTTTGATAAAATAGATAGGTTTGTTAGAATTTTTATTTAATTATTATTAATATTCTAATATTGGTCATGTATTTGGGGTTATATGTTATTAATAGAGTTCGTATAGTCCTAGACATTTAATTGGTTTAATGATAAACCTATGTTTAAGTCTGTCTAGGACTAGGGTTCCCCAACCCTCGCCTCTGCCTCTATATATACGCTTATTCCATATGGAATAAGGACACAATATTAGTGAGAGATCTCTATCTGTCAAGAATCTCATAAGGAAAGAGACCAGAGGAAATAAGAGATTTATTCCAGTTCGTTCATCTATTATGAATCCAGATATTCCTAAATCTCAGACTATCTATATGATTATGTATAATTATATGATGTCGATCTTGGAATTTAATCTAACAATGGGTATCAGAGCCAAGTCCGATTTGACATCATAAATTATACTCGTATATGATTATAATTCCTTGCCGATCTGATTATATGCGTAGATGGTCGATTTAATTTTAATTGTGGATTCACGATCTGTTATTATCGGCAATGCATCTTTGGTATACCAGCATATGCATATACCGATTTCGTATGCTAATCCATGTACGTGTTCCATCTTGCGCGTGCCGCCAGAGGCGATGATACTCTGTTTTTGTAATCTTGATTATGCCGATTTTAGATGATCTATATTAGGTCTGTTTTTTTGTTCAATAATCTTGGAGTTGCCTTTGAAACAAATTAAACTTTAAGGAACCAATTTCAGAACTTCGTCAACGACTTTAATTTTTTATTTTATTAAAGATTGGACTATTGGAGTTGACAAATTTAATATTCTCCTGTTTCAGACTTTAGTTGACGGATTGGAATTTTACGAATTCCTTAATTTAATTTGTTAATTTTTTTATATGATGCTTCCGCATATCAGTTTATAGTCCAAGATTTTTATATGGAGATATTTATGCACTAATAAAATTTAAAGTGATGTTAGTTTTGTCTCCTATGATTATTTACTCAATTAATTGTTTAAATGTTTTGGTATCTTGTTAGTCACCAAAGTGGTCTGGCTAGTTTATTTAGACAATTTTGTTCATATATGTGTACTCATTTAAATTTCTAATGTTATGATACAACTAGTTTGGTTAATTAGAAATTTTGATTGAGTAGATCGAACTGATCATAATTAATCTACGTTTAATGAACATTTAATTTGAGTTTAATTATTTACATATAAGGAGTTTGTTAGTCACCAAAGTGGCCTGACTCATATAAGAGTTAGATAATTAAATTTTTATGATCTATTTGATTAATTAATCTATGTTTTGTGAACATATAAATTTAATTATTTACTTATAAGGAGTTTGTTAGTCACCAAAGTGGCCTGACTCATATGAGAGTTAAATAATTAAATTTTTTATGATGTTTTTTTTATTATTTATGTCCATAAATGTAATGCTTGTTAGTTACCAAAGTGAACGGACTAAATCAATTTAAGCAATTTAATTGAGTAAAATTTATTACATAACTATATTCACTCATTTAAATTTCTAATGTTATGATAAGTTGTTAATCACCGAAGTGATTTAATGGTTGGCTTAGAAATTTTAATTGAGAGAATTAGTCATGATTTTAGTAGATGGATATTTAAATTTAATTATTTACAAATAAGGAGTTCGTTAGTCACCAAAGTGGTCTGACTCATACGGTTAGTATATAATTAAATTTTATGTAATTACACTTCTTCAATCGATTTGATTTATTGTCTATAAATATAATGCTTGTTAGTCACCAAAAAAGTGGCCTGGCCAAGAGTTATTAGACAAATAAATCTGAAAGGTCAAATCAATTTTTTATAATTTTAGGATATTAAATAATATAAAAATAATGCATTGAGATTATATTGCTATAAGATCACCAAAAGGTGGATCATGCATGTATAATTTTTGCAATTTAAGAGACTAATTTTTTAACTACGATTAAATTGGGTTAATGTCCAAATACAACACTCATTTAGTCATGTGTAATTAATTGTCTATTTTCGTATATTATTTGGCATCATTTTTATGTATATATTTAAGGATCACCCAAAGGTGAATTTAATTAAGCATATATGTTTAGGTTTTCTAAGAATGAATCTGTATTAGTTAATTCAATGCATTAATAGTAAACATGTATATTGTTGCAGCTTCGTTAAATCTCTTATCGTTCACGAACGATTTAATTAGGGAATTCATGTTGGATATCAAGTCAATCAAGATTGTTACACATTTAGGTTTTGTGTGTTTCAAATCAAATCTCATAGAAGTTCCTAATAACACTTGGTGGTTAGATTCGGGTGCTTCTACTCACGTTTCTCACATTATGAAGGGATTTAAGTCCATCCAACCAATAAGAGGAAATGAACAATTTCTATTTATGGGGAATAGGATGAAAGCACGCATCGAAGGCATAGGAACGTATAGGTTGATCTTAGACACTGGATGTCTTTTATATGTAGATAATTGCCTTTATGTGCTTGATTGTGCTAGAAATCTTGTTTCAGTTAGTAGGTTGGATGTTTCAGGATTTCATATCAAGTTTGGGAACAATACCTTTTCATTATTTAAGGATAATTTTATTTATGGATCTGGTATGTTGGTTGATTCTCTGTATCGTTTTAATCTTGTTTTGAAATTTACTGAATCTCTATTTAATGTTGAAAATAATGTGGGAGTTAAGCGTAGTGCACTAGATGAGGACTCAGCTTTCTTGTGGCACCAACGTCTCGGTCATATTTCCAAGGATAGACTAATGAGGTTAGTTAAAAATGAAATTTTACCTCAATTGGATTTTAGTGACTGGGATGTGTGTGTTGATTGCATTAAAGAAAGCCAAACCAAACACGCAGTAAAGAAGGCGTCCACAAGAAGCACTCAATTGTTAGAGCTTATACACTGTGATATTTGTGGTCCTTTTGATGTTCCTTCTTGGGGTGGAGAAAAGTACTTTATCACCTTTATAGATGACTACTCACGTTATGGTTACATCTATCTGCTGCATGATAAGGCCCAGTCGGCAGACATCCTAGCGGTGTTTGTCAACGAGGTGGAAAGGCGGCTAGAGAAGAAAGTTAAGGTTGTGAGGTCTGATAGAGGTGGTGAGTATTATGGGAAATCCAATGAATATGGACGATGTCCAGTTCCACTCGCTAAATTCTTTGAAAGTCGAGGCATTTGTGCTCAATACACAATGCTGGGTACACCACAACAAAATGGTGTAGATGAGAGGCGGAATCGTACGTTAATTGAAATGGTTAGGAGCATGTTAAGTTATTCTACCTTACCCCCTTCGTTGTGGATGTATGCATTAAGGACTGCTGCATATATGTTAATCCGGGTTCCTAGTAAGGCAGTTCCTAAGACCCCTTATGAACTGTGGACAGGTAGAAAACCTAGTTTGAGACATATCCATATTTGGGGGTGTCCTTCAGAAGTAAGAGTATACAATCCGCATGAAAGGAAACTTGATCTGAGGACAATTAGTGGATTTTTCAATGGCTATCCTGAAAAGTCGAAGGGGTTTAGGTTTTATTGCCCTAGTCATAGTTCGAGAATTGTAGAGACAGACAATGCTCGGTTCATTGAAAATGGTCAAGTTAGTGGGAGTGGTGAACCACGAAATGTGGTCATTCAAGAACAAAAAGATAATGTCATGTTCCCACATGTCGGCCGCATCAATAGTAGCTCAAACACCAACGAACGACCTGAGTATATAGTTACTGACACAATCACTAATGATCAGAATGAAGGTGTAGTCGGTGAACAAGATACTAATGAGCATGTTGTGACCACTTCAAATGAACATGTCATCACTCAAGAAAACGATAATTCGTCAGAAGGAATAGCGTTAAGAAGGTCATCTGGGGAAAAACGATCTGCTATTCCGTTAAGAAGGCCACTGTTCATGAGACTTTCAGATTTCTCAAATGTTTCGGATGAATTAGAATTGTCTTGTGATATATGGAAGAAAGCGTGTCAGTATAAATGGTGTGTAACCGCCATGATCCATTCAATTTGAAATTCAGTTAAGTTTTTTCTTGATGAGTTTTTTTTGATGAATATTGCGCAATTTAAGTTTTCATCAATTCATCAAGGATCACATGACCAAGTGGGAGAATGTTCGTTAGAATATTTATTTAATTATTAATATTCTAATATTGGTCATGTATTTGGAGTTATATGTTATTAATAGAGTTCGTATAGCCCTGGACATTTAATTGGTTTAATGATAGGCTAAACCTATGTTTAAGTCTGTCTAGGACTAGGGTTCCCCAACCCTCGCCTCTGCCTCTATATATACGCTCATTCTCTAAGGAATAACAACACAATATTAGTGAGAGGTTTGTACCTGTCAAGAATCTCATAAGGAAAGAGGTCAGAGGGAATAAGAGATTTATTCCAGTTCATTCATCTATCATGGATCCATGTATTCCTAAATTTCAGATTTATCTGTATATGATTATGTATAATTATATGATGTCGATCTTGGAATTTAATCAAATAATGTTTAGTAACATGCACCTAATTAATATTAATATTTATTTATCATATAATTAGGAGAAATTTCATACACGCCCAGTATGATAGACGCTAGCACGCACATGTATTATTACGACGTAATTAATTGCACAACACCTAATAATTTAAGTACGGAGTACGTCCAACCAACATAATTAATTAAGGTGTGTGTAATGCATATCATATACTCCGTATTATTATTATACTACGTATAACAAAGGACAAAAATAATCAATATCTGTACGTGTATAATTTAATTAATTACTACGGCTGGGCAGATTGACTAGAGAAATTGGCGCAGGGTGTTTTTCATCAGGTAGTCAACAATGATCCGGTTGGTTTTCTCGGTGAGATGGAAGGAATCCCAGAAGACGTACTTATTCGCATCCGTACATGTGAACGGGTTCATCCGGTCACACAGGTAGCTCATCTCGAAAAGCCCTGTGCCGCAACAAGCGACTGATGCCACGTCAAACCCTATACCACAACAAAATTAAATTATATTACACCACTTCATCAATATGGACTAATAAACTTCAAATTGTATAAATTAGTACACAAATGTTAGGGGACACAAGTTGTACACTTATATACAACTTGTAAACAAAATGTCGGTCACAGAAAATTGGTACGGAATTGTCTGTGGGCACAAACAAGAGTTTTCTGTGTACACAGACAACTTTTGTTTGTGTACACAGACATTTACTTTCTTGTAAAAATACACTGACAGCCACCTGACACAACCAATATTTTCATGTTGCACAGACAATTATTTGTCTGTGTGCACAGACAATATTTACCACATAGACAATAGTTGTACGTCTAAGAGGTAATAGTTGTCTGTGTGATCAACTTTAGTTGTCGGTGATCAATTTCAATTGTCTGGGTGAAAAAAATAATAATTGTCTATATATATCCAAATGAATGATGTAGTTGTATGTGTGATCAATTTACATGTAATTTGAAAACAATAAAAAAAAATAATAAAAATAGATGAAATAAAAAAAGAATAAGCTGATTTTGTGCAAATAATGAAAAAAATTGATATAAAAAGGTGGAGAAAAAGAGGATGAAAAGGGAAGAGGAAGATGAAGAAGAGAAGATGATCTCTCATTTTTCTTGAGATATTGGAATGGATAGGGTAAAGAGGAAAGAGAGAAGGAAGAGGGGGGAAGAGAGAATGGAGAGAGAAGGGGAAAAGGGAAATGAGATTTTTTTGAGCCTTTTATATGGTGTACAGTGTACCCCATGTGTACCTTAAACATTTTTCAACTTAGTGTGTAGTCATTTGTCCTCCCTCTCCATGTTCTTTCCAGCAGGACTTATTTTATTAATAATGAAATCATTATTTTATTTATAATACAAACGTTAAAATATAAAAATATAAAATAAAAATAAAAATTACTAAAAAATTAAGTAAATCACATAAGAAATATATGTAGTCATGTGTCATCGTATCTGCTGCCTCCCAGCACTGTCACCTCCGATTGTTGGAAAAAATGTCACCTTTTGTAGAAATATCATCTTATATACAAAGATGACATTATTACTCTCTGAAACCGCCAAATTTTGTTCTTTAAATACGATCAAAATGGCCCTTTAAAAAAAACTACGATCAAAATAGCAATTATGGCATTAGTTTTGCGAGTTGGCATTTTTTCTGGCAATCAGATAATGGCGGTGCAGGGAGGTGACCGCGTATTAACACTTTTTTTTGTTTTTTACATTTTCCTGGCAATTAACACCTTTTTTTTTTTTTTTTTACTTTTTGTGATAATTAAACCTTCTTTTACATTTTATTTTTTTAAAATTTGTATGTTTTATTATTACTCCGTATTATAAATATAAAAAACCTTATTAAAGCATGACAAGAGAAAGAGTAGAATGGGAAGAATTATTCCTATTTTTGAAACTTAAAACTTATACTCCTATTCTTGCAATTTAGCTATTATTTAATCCTATTTATGGAATACTAATTTACAGTTAGGGGAAAATCTCGAAATTTCTTGATTAAAATGTGCAATATTTTAACTTTGGTAAACTACAATTTTAGTGAATCCACTTATATTTATTAAAATGTGTCTATTAATTAATTAACTAAATCTGTTTTGTATAACTTTTATCTGCGACGACTCAGTTTTAATAAATTAATAAACAAAATTAATAAAATTAAACTTAAATTCTTATTGTATAATCGAATTATACAGTTTTATAAGACACGCATATATAGTAAACAAAATTCCAAAGATGTAAAGAAAAATACTAAAATATCGGTCAGTCGCTCTATTTGTCTCAATATTTGACTTTGTTCGATTTTTAATAGGTGAGAACCATATAATTAATATGATTACAAATTAGAGAGAATTCCTTAAATAGGAGTAAAAACGTTTTGAAATTCCAAAATAGGAGTATCATGTTTTTTATTCCTTGAATAGGAGTACTCTGCCAAGTTTGGAAGAAAATGCCATGTTAAAAAGCCTTGTAATGCCAAACTTGGCAGAAATTTACTCCTATTCAGGGAATAAAAAACATGATACTCCTATTTTGGAATTTCAAAACGTTTTTACTCCTATTTAGGTCAATTTCTGTACAAATTAGTCAGAGAAAACTTAAATAATACCAACTCCACAATTATTTTCTAAAAGAACAACATAAATTAGACACTACTAAAAATTAATGCATGTAAGAATTTGAGGAGTATAAAACAGAAGATATATATTAAAAATATTATATACTCCGTACATGGTTTTTTTTATTTATTCTTTTTAGAAAGATCTTCATTTACTCTATAAATCTTACTACGTATATTACAAAATCAATTGCAAGCAATTCTAACTACTTGTAAATTTCAAGCTAACGAGCATTTAACCCCGAAATAAATAGAAACCAAATCATTAAATATTAGGTAAAACAATATGAATAAACTACAAATCAAATATTGGAAATAAGTGAGAGATAAAAAGTTTTTTGTATGCTTAGAGTTGATCGAAAAGCTAACGAGGGTACGATTTTTTTAAGTCACAACTCGGTACCCATTTAAAAATGTGGTACCATACCTACCACTCACTTGATTGGTCAATACCATTAAATCATTTTTAATTTAGATTTAAATAATTCGACTGCATTATTCTAATTGGTCCATGTGAACAAAAGTATGACACACTATCAACTTTTACGTACTACTAATCACTTTTTCCAAATCACTCCAAAAGTGCTTTTTAAGCAGAAGCTGTTGCAAACCAACCCTAAAAGGATATCAAACAATCTACCTTTTTTTTAAATGGGGGCATATTGATTTTTTCAGTGGGAGCATTATCTAGGGTAGGGCTGGGCATATCGGTTTCGATTCGGTTTTTATCGATTTCGGTTTGGAACGGGTTGGGAAAATTATTACCAAACAAAAATCTTACCATTTTTCAATTTGGTTTGGTTTAGTTCGGTTCGGTTTGGATTTGTTATTTTTTAATAAAATATAAAGGATTTTTTGAATTTCTTTAGTTCGGTTCGGTTTAGTACGGTTTGGTTCGGTTTGGTACGGTTCGGTTCGGTTAAACCAAACCATAATGCCCACCCCTAATCTAGGGCATGTACTTCCATTCCATTACATATGTGCCGATCCTCTTCTGAGTTTCGTGCTAAAATGTAAACTTATAGACTTATGAGTGAGTACTTTACAAATTACAAATATAACAGGAGTAAGGGTTCCATTCCATTACCATGTTAAGACATGTGGTTTCAACCTAAAAGGTCAACCTAATTGGAGGAGTAATCCATGTGTTAATATAACATTTGGTTCATCCAAACTTTTCCGGTGTGAGACATTTAACACCCCTCCCCATGACTAGACACTTCGTCTGGATCGTGTCATTATTCTTTTTTTTTCATCGGTCCGTTTTTTTCATTCAGTCGTAATTGTCATTTTTTCATAAGGGGCCCCACACCATGGATCGATTTGGCTCTGATACCATATCATGTCAAGACTCAGGGTTCCATCGTAAAAGGTCAACCTGTTAGGAGAAGTAACTCAAGGCTTTATTTGTTGGTTTGTATTTCTACACGCAACCGGTGTGGGATAGCTTAATATCATGATTTGACAATTTCATTCATGCAACTTGTCAATTTGACAAATTTAACCTTTTCAGTAAAGCATATCAACGAGCCCCTAGCCTATAGGTTATTTAGGATGTTTTCTTTTGGACTGAAATTTGCTGGTCTGGTCTGGTCTGATCTGGTCTAGTTTGTTTAAGTCTAGTCTGGTCTGGTCTGGTAAACGTCTGGTCTCTGTGTATTTTATAACTATCCAAGTCTGGTCTGGTCTGGTCTGGTCTGGTCCGGTCTGTTTAAGTCTGGTCTGGTCTGATCTGGTCTGGTCTGGGACTGAAAACAGTCCAAAAGAAAACATCCTTAGTATCCTCATGTAACTCGTCAATTTGACAAATTTAACCTTTTCAGTAAAGCATATCAACGAGCCCCTAGCCTATAAGTTATTTAGGATGTTTTCTTTTGGACTGAAATTTGCTGGTCTGGTCTGGTCTGTTTAAGTCTGGTCTGGTCTGGTCTGGTCTGGTCTGATAAATGTCTGGTCTCTGTGTATTTTATAACTATCCAAGTCTGGTCTGGTCTGGTCTGTTTAAGTCTGGTCTGGTCTGATCTGGTCTGGGACTGAAAACAGTCCAAAAGAAAACATCCTTAGTATCCTCATGTGCTACAACAACCTAGGAAAATTGACAGTCCAGTGGACCGGTTGGCTTATACGTACTAATTCTTAATGCATTATGCAATGAGAAAGGGTAGGATATAAGAAAAGGTATTCCTATTTTTGGAATTTAGAACTTATTCTCCTATTCTTCAAATTTATCTATTATTTAATCCTACTTATGGAATTCTAATCTACGGTCAGGGGCGGATCCATAGATTTGGTGATTAAAATGTGCAATATTTTAACTTTGGTAATTAAAGTACAATTTTAGTGAATCCATTTATATTTACTAAAATGTGTGTATTAATTAACTAAATCTGTTTTGTATAACTTTTTTATGTGACTCAGTTTTAATAAATTAGTAAAAAATTACTAAAATTAAACTTAAACTATATATATAGGCTAAAGGGTCAAATAGGCCCTTGAACAAACTTAAAGTGTTCAATTAGCCCCTTATAAAGGAGGTTCAGCCCGGCCATTGCCAATTGGAGAGGTTCCCGGTAGAATTTTTTGATGAAAATTTTTTAGCATCTTCTTCATTAAGTCGAGTTTACCCATATCAAATTTCAGCTAAAAATTAAATCGGAAAGGCAGTCAAATGATTTTCCGAAATGTATTGCGCTGTTTAACTACGCAGTTATCTTCAAAAAATCATTTGATTGCCTTCCCAGTTGAATTTTTAGCTGAAATTTGGTATGTGTAAACTAGACTTAATGAAGAAGATGCTAAAAAATTTCATCAAAAAATTCCACCGGGAACGGTCTCAATTGACGACGGCCGGGCAAAACCTCATATATAAGGGACTAATTGAACACTTTAAGTTAGTTCAAGGGCCTATTTGACCCTTTAGCCTATATATAAACAAGGTGCATTTTATGTGGAACAAGGTAAGTCTAGGGAATTTTCTCTATTTTATATGATCCTATATACAAACACCGACCTACGGATTCACACACATAATTTTTTGTTCAAATGAGAATGATCATATCTTAAGAAAGAAATGAGAAAGAATATAATTGAATTCAATATATAAATTTTTTAAAAGACTAATATTGCAAAAAGATAATGAAAATGCACAAACATGTTCAAAAGTTATAAATTTGGTGTGCCAAGGAAAAAAGTGCATTATATTAAGTATGGGCGAGCGCATAAATCTATATATGCTCATTTCCCCACACCAATCAAATATCCTATGTATTTTAATAGAAACATATATGGTTGGGAGGTGGGTTGTTGGCTAATCCATAGATAAAGGAGTTAAAGAAGAGACAGATAAAGGGGTTGAGGACTTGAGGTAAACTAGCCCATGGAAGGTCATTTATCGATTTAAGGTCAGATATTGCTCTCCATTTATGGTCCAACAAGGACCGCCGACTTTTCAAGCACATGCAATCATTAATGGAGTAGGCTCCTAAGACATACGAGTAGGTAAGTGACAAGTATTATGTGAGTTGCAATTGGTGTACATGATGTTTTTGAGTCTTATATATCATTTGGGTATGGCTCCCATAAAAATGACAATATTCTTCGTGCGAATGTGCATTATAGTTCATTTTGGTGTAAAAATACATTGTGAGTACGTACGTAGCATGTACTAATGTGATTAAGGGCCGGTGTTTGGATCTTTACTTCTTAAAATTGATTCTTCTCTTTTAGGAAGCAAAAGCACATATTGAAATATTGGAATGTTTGGATGAAACTATAGAAATATTTTTGGGTGTTTCAAATTGCTTCTAAGAGCACTTCTTTAAAAGATGGAGGAGGTCAGCTTTTGAAAAACGGATTTTGATTTTTCTTCTGCTTTGAGAAAAGAAGCAGAAGCAGAATCAATTCTAAACACCCCTAGTACCACGCTCAAACCCGAAAATAACAGGTACAGCCGAAAATTATACAATTCTCCCTTTTCAATTTATCCTCTTCACTATATTATATGATTGGGTTACATATGGAGGTAGGATGGAGCACACCTCAGGTCTCGTAAAGAACACGTACTTCTTGGGCATGGGCATCGGTAGCTCGGTCATGCTATACCTCGACTTATCTCAAATTTGAAAAAAAACTTTAATTATATGAGTAAAAAAAGTAAAATTATTTAACAAATTCTTTTAAATGGTCATGTCAAAGCTATCGTGCACCAGTGTTCATGTCATCATGCGCGAATGTACCAAGATGCATATATGATCTTTGCGGTAGACTTAATTACATTGTGAGTAATGGCTGTAATGCAAATTGAATTGGTGATTGTGAGTAATGTAAATTGGTGTATGTGACTTTCTTTGGCAAGAAGTCATGTGAGTAAAAAAATGGTGTTAAAAACATGTTGCGGCCGTAGTATTAATGCGGTAGCGATCCAAAACGCAACCGCATCAAGCCGCGGCCAGTTTTGGTGTTTTTTTAATTCACATCCAAAACTGCAAACTTAATACAATTTTCTTATTTCGTGTAACTTTAAAACTAATTTACACTATGCAGTGGGACCGCAGTATTTTCCAAGTATATGAATATATGATGGAGGATATGGAGAGAAATGAGTTTAATTATTTCGTACCATATGAGGAAGGTTTTGTGATGATCTGAAGCAAAACGGTGTAGGCGTCGGAGTAAACAAGGCGGAGTCCGGGAAGCTCCCGGTTGAGCTTACTCATCATGACATTCAAAAGGGTGTTGAAACGCGCAGCCAGGGTGTTGTACTTTTGGTTGCAGACATTGCCAAAGCCGCCCAGGAAACTGGTGGTTCGCTCCAGGGGGAGACAGCCCATGGGAGGGAGCCCTCCCAGGGCTATCTTCCTCGCTCCCAACCCATAGATTTCCCTCACGAACTTCTCGGCGATCCCGAGGATGAAGCCCTGGAACTGCTCCACCGTGAACTGCTTCCCCCTCCGGCTCCCGGGCATGTAGTAGTTCTCCAGGAAGTCGTTGGTTCCCATGCTCACCACATACAGCGACTCCTGGATCACGTACCTCGCCCTTCTCCCTCCCGCATATGCCCGCAATTTCTTCTGATACTCTTTGTAGTTCTCCACTTCCTTCCACAATGGTATCACGTTCTGCAGGTCACATTACATTAAATTACATTACATTCATCATATGGGTCACAATTGCATTTCATCAGTAAAATATCGTATACCGTGGTGACATGGAGCCCCACAGGCCAGAGGCTGGAGGAAATCTGATATCGGGCTTATAGTAGTGTTCTTTTTAATTTATAAAGCTCAAAATAAAGATTATGATTCATTTTCTTTCATTAGTATCAAATATTACTTCTAATCGTTAGATCCAGTTTATGATAAATTAAATGTTAGAGATGAAAAAGTAAGATTAAATAATCTAGCTACTTTCGAACAAATCAAGATCTAACGTTAGATATTTGGTCTTAAACTTTATTTCTGCCAAAAATGAATCGGCAACGCTTCTCATCGTTTGTTATACGTCGCGTCGTATGTATTTCTGGTTTGACTTTATGGTGCTTTTAAACATTTAAACCAAATAGCGGGCATAAATCTTTCCTGCATTCCATCCGAATGATTTTAAAAAAACATTTATTGTTGACATTTAAATTCTCCTTTTTCAAAGTTTTACTTGCAAAGTTTATCTTTTAAGTGGGATAAAATCCAAATCCTAAAAAATTGAATTTCAAAATCTCCTGCCAGCCAGAATCTGATGGAAGGGGGACCGAAATTGTTTATATGTTGATCACTTAGTTTTTAGTTTTAACAATGCATTCCTCGTATTTGTTTCAAGTCTGCATTTTATTGTTCGAACATATCTAATATCATGTACAATATTTCTTGTGATGATATAATTACACATTTACATCTCTAGAATAGGACGGGCACCACTTGGTGATGGAGATTATTTTTATTAGCTATTAAAAATTAGGTGATAATCAAAGTACTTTATACTATTATATTAAACAAAAAATATTGATTCTTCGCCCAACAGTTATGCCCAAAGGTTTCCTTTCTTCGTGGGTGAATAAGAATGTTGCATATCGACTTTTCTTGGTCAATGATGATAAAATGTGAACAATGATTTCATTTATTAAATTTGTACATAATTTATAAATTTTATACTTTTATGAAAATATTTTGAATAAGGAACATTTTAATATAATTTTCATATTCTAAATAGTTTCATAATAAAAAATATGTAGTATCACTAATCAAAGTTGATTGCCATTAACTAAGCCAATAAGAACTTTTTGGGAGAGAATAACATACTCCTTCCGATTCTAAAAGAAGTTCCACATTTCCTTTTCGGGCAGTACCAAAATTAAGTTTTACTTTCAAACATTTCCTTATTTGGCAGATTATCTACATTAAAACAGTGTCAAACGGTATCCAAACAGTGCCAAATTTATTTTCTTATATGTGTGAAGTTAAAACTGGATCTTGGTTTATAACGGGAGTACTTTGCATGAATATTAGAGAGTACTTTTTGTCTCCCACTCATCACGGTGGAATTATTTGGTTTAATTCTCTCTCTTTAGTTATCTTTTAACTTGACTAGCATCAAGGAGTGAAAACAAGATTTCAAAAAAAAAGGGAGTGAAAACAATGACAAATACCACTCCGTACTTCTTTTTGTCATATTAGGATACTTTTCGAGGGGGTATCTAATAGGGAATAGTACTCACAGGCAACAGGGAACCATATCCATTACCATTCCATGGGTATCTAAATTCTTTCTTGTTTAAGCTTTAGTTTACTAAAACAAAACATTGCATATTCCCCTGTCCCTTAAATTTTATACTCGCTCCCTGGTCTATAAAAACTCCTCATTTGACTGGCACACAAATTAAGATAGTGGATATAGTGTATGTATGGTGAAGAGTTATGCAGAGGAGAAAGAAATGTATAAGAATAATCTTGAATCACAAATTGTTTGTCAAAAGGGGAAAACTAAGATAATTTTGGGACGAATGGATAAAGAAAGATTGGAGATAATACATGGACGGACGGGGAGTATCTTTTTCGTTTGATGTCACAGAAAACTTTACTACTCTCTATTTTAATCGATTATTTTATGGTTTTTGTTATTTTGTTGTTGATGTCCGCAAGTTTGGATCACATACTTTTGGAAAAGCAAAGATTGGTATAGATTTTGGACTTACTAGGACGGCGGAGGTAGCATTGTCATAGCCAGTGCCGGCGGAGGCAAAGCAGACGCCAGCTGCGAAGTCGGAAATATTGTAAGCGGGGTCGAGGTAGGCTGGGACGAAAGGGCGGAGGCCGAGACCCTCGGATATCAAGTCCGACGGGACCCGACCGTTGGAGAACCTCCCGGTGGGGCGCTTGCCGATGAAGTCGCGGCCGTAGGGCTCGAAGTTGCTCTTGAGGAGCGTGGAGATCCGGTTGTTGTTGCCGGTGTCCACGGAGGAGTCGCCGAACACTATCACCGCCGGGACTTTGGCTGCAGCGCCAGTCATCAAGGTGATGAGAGGCAGCAGCAGTACTACGGTGACGGCGGCGGAGAGCACCATTTATTTAAGTAGTCGTACTTAGCTTGTGTGTTTTATTGAATTCGATCTTACCAAGAATGGGGCGGTTTACAGTATTAATAAAGGAGCAGAGATTGGAGTAATTAAGAGCTGAGGGTGGGAGTTAGAGCACCCACTTTATACTGGTTAGTTGTCTACTTCTATCAGTCCACTCCATTATCTCACCTATCCTTTCAGCCCAAAATTAATGTAAGCAAGCCTTCAACGACTTGGCATTTTTTTTTTTTTTTTTATGTATTCTTTCTTACGCACCCAGAACTAGACATTCAGGCTAGGCGTCTGTCTACTTGACTCCACACCAGCATCAGTGCATCACCGCCCCCCATTTTATTCGTGTTCTCATGTGTCCAGACAACTTTATCATAAAATATCTAAAATAAGAACTTCATATTTTGACTCACCGATATAGCTACTAGCTAGTTCCTTGAAAATCTGAAATAGGACGTACGTATACTTATAATTTAGTTAGTGGAAAAATTCACACCAATAATCTCAACTATTCATGATCTTCTTATATTAAAGTTCCACTTTTTCTTTGAGAGGCCTTTGTTTTGTCAAAAAAAGATTCGGAGATTTAAATATAGGATAAGAATGAATTGTCCGACGAATTTTTCTCTCTAGGGTTCGGCGGTTTTCCGCCGTTGCCTTAGTGTAGCCCGATATTTCCCTCTTCGCCTGTCAACCTTGGTTCGAATTGTATCGATACTAAGGAAGGGCGAGAAGGTGGCTTTGGTTTGTTGCTATCGGCAGGTTTTGGAAGAGTGCAGACGAAGACATCAAATTCGACTGCTGTGGCTGTGGGTTTGGGACGAGCAAGCTTTTCTCTCGAAGGGGCATATCGGCGGCTGTGGTTTGGGATTTTTCAACTATGGAGGATGTGGGAGAGCAGTATAGACGACTGGCTTTGGAGAAAGAAAATAGTACTGAATTTTGATGATGAGGAAGAAGAAGAAGCAACCGTTCCAAAGGCAAAGGAGGCGGAGTTTCCGGTGGTGGGAGTCATTCTCACCGACCGGAAAGTCAGATCTCAGTCACTACAGGAACTGTTTGTATCGCTCTGGAGGCCAGGAAGAGGAATGGCGTTTCAAGAAATTGATGAAAATAGGTATCTTTTCACTTTTAATCATAAAATTGATATGAATCGTGTTATAGAAGATGGTCCTTGGCTATTTGAGCGGAATCTGTTACTGCTAAAGGCAGTTGGCCCTAATGATATACCGCATAAAATGGACTTATTTGAAGCAGAGTTCTGGGTGCAAGTGCACAATGTGCCGTACAAGTTTATGAATGTAGATACTGCTAGGAGGGTGGGTAACTATATTGGGGAATTTATTAGTTTTGATGAAAGCCACTTTAAGGGAAAATGGAGTTCTTACTTGAGGGTTAGGATAAAGATAAATGTCAGAAGACCCTTAAAAAGGGTTCCACTTTGACTAAAGGAGGGGAAGGACACTGGGTAGATTTTAAATATGAAAAATTATCAAGCTTCTGCTTCATTTGTGGGATTATGGGGCACTCTGAGAAGTTTTGTCCATTAAAATATGTGGAGGGTCTAGTTTTGGAGAAAAATTTTAGTGCTGATCTGAGAGCAGGTGTTGGGGGTAAGATTAGCCCCACGAGGGGCGGTAAGTGGTTGGGGGATAAACAGGGAGGTTCGAGTCAGCACTGAAGGGCTCAACATAATGGAGAAGGCACTATGGGAGAGGAACGTAAGGGAAATACAGCTGAGTCTGAAAGCAGTGGCACAAAGGAAGAGACTAGAAGCGGTGCAGGGGAGGTCGCGGTGGATCAAAAGCGCAGGAGAGTCTGGAAGGAACCGTCAGAGGAAAACAACTCAGGGGAGGAGATGGCACTGGACAGCACAAAAAACGGGGAGGAGGCGGGTCTCAGCTCCTAGGCCCGCCTGATGTGTTCATGAAGCTGCAGGTGCAGAGTTTCCACGGTGGTGCTTATTTTATTATTGCTTGTTTTGTTTCTTTTGATGGTCAGACTGTTGTTTTGGTTATTTGTTTTGGTTATTTATGTAAGACTCTTGCATTAGGCTCGATGATGAGTGTGTTGCAGTAACCATTATTGGCTCAGTTATGCCCAGTTTAGGATCAGCGAGTTATACTGCTTTTTTGAAGGTGGTTAACTCAGAGTCTGGCCCAAGGGCGGATGGTTATCGGTGGTACTCTTGTTATTTTAGATCCTTGTTGAATGCTTTTATTCTAATATAAGCCCCCTTCATTAAAAAAAATGATCTTCTTATATTAATCCCAGTTATTGGTAATTCCAATATAATCTAAACTATAAGGTATATCTTCCAATATCAAACTGGTGATCTGCTCAAACCCATTCAACAGGTTACCTCGCCACGTGGCTTATTTTGATTGGACTTTTTTCACTTTTCTTTTTGTTTTATTTCATTTTCTTCTTTTATTTCCTTTTTTCAGAATTATGAAAAGTAAACTTTATGGAGGATAACGAACTGATATTTTCATTACAATCCAGAAAGAGAAACGTACAAAGACTATTTATAGCAATCTATATATTCTAACTAACAAACTGAAAGAAGATACTAGAAGAAGTTTGTTACAAAATGCTATACAAACATATGTATCTATAAGTTATCCTTTATCCAATGCTTCTGATTTCTTTGCGTCCAGATCTTCATTGACTTTCTTTCTCCAATACTCCCCCTCAAGATGTGCATATATGTTTTGCATGCACATCTTGCTTAACAGAAAATTCATTCTTTTGGTTGAAATTCCTTTTGTGAACAAGTCTGCCAACTGCAAATCAGATATCACATGTATCATCTTAAAAATGCCTTTTGCATATTGTTCTCTTACCACATGACAATCTATTTCTATGTGTTTAGTTCTTTCATGGAAAACTGGGTTAGATGCTATGTGCATACCCAGTAATTGATCTTCTAGTTTCAGTGCATGCTGCCCAATCTGCATCACAGTACATGTGTATCTTCATGTTATTCAATTTTGGGTAAAACAATCCTTGTCATGTTGTCCCTTTAATGTAGCGCACAATTCTCAATGCTGCTCCTAAATGTACATCTGTGGGTTTAGCAACAAACTGACTGAGTATTGACTGCATATGATATATCAGGACGAGTCACAGTTAAATATAGCAATTTTCCAATGATTCTTCTATATTCACTTGGATCTTCTAAAACTGTCCCAGAATCTTGCATAAATCTGACATTTTGATCAATGGGGAATAGTGATGGTTTTGCATCCAATAAACCACATTCATTAATGATGTCAAGAGCATATTGTCTCTGATTGATGCATATGCCCTTATCATTCCTTGCAACTTCTATTCCCAGAAAGAATCTTAAGTGTCCCATATCTTTTAGCTTAAAATGTTGTTTCAGATATTTCTTCAGATCATCAATCATATCATCATCATTCCCAGTGATGATGATGTCATCTACATACACCAATAATAGAGTGATAGAATCTCCCATTTGTTTTACAAACAAAGAGTGATTATTCTTTGATTGTACACATCCATATTGAGTAATGATAGTGCAGAACTTGTGATTCCATTGCCTGGATGCCTGTTTCAATCCATATAAGGATCTCTCTAGCTTGCATACCACATTCTCCCCCTGTCTAGAGAAACCTTGAGGTAACTGTATATAAACTTCCTCATTTAACTCTCCATATAGGAAAGCATTATTAACATCAAGTTGGAAGATATTCCAAGAATGAGCTGCAGCAATGCTAAGAAGACATCTAACAGTAGTGATCTTGGCTACAGGAGAGAATGTTTCAGAATAGTCAAGTCCAGGTTTTTGTGTGTAGCCTTTAGCCACCAACCTTGCCTTATATCTCTCAATTGACCCATCAGCTTTATACTTTATCTTGTAAACCCACTTACAACCTATTGCTCTTTTCCCAGGAGGTAAAAGTTGCAAAGTCCATGTTTTATTTTCTTCAAGAAGAGTAACCTCAGTTCTCATTGCTTCTTGCCAGTGAGGTATTAATGAGGCCTCTTCATAAGAATGAGGTTCAAACTCTTGGGCAACAGCTAGAACAAACTTTAAATATGACCCAGAAAGTCTATGGAATGAAAGAGAATTAGATAATGGAAATGACACAGATTTGTTACTTTTACCTGTGAAGGGGACAGTTGGATGATGTGCAAGGTTACATTGATAGTCTTTGAGGTAGCTTGGTGGATGATGGGTTCTAGTAGTTCTGCGTAGGGTTGGTATTTGGGGTGGAAATTCAGGTGGATAATTGAAGTTTTGTTCAGATGGAGTGGGAGGAGATGATTGACTGGATGAATTTGAGGTGGAAGATGAATGATTGGAAGCTTGAGAGTTAGGAATTGTAGATGGGAAAGGTATGATGGAAGGTAAAATGTGAGGTGATGTTTGTGTGTTTGGTAAAGAATCAGAAGATATAGAAGCAAAGGGAAACTGATCCTCAAAAAAATAGACATCTCTTGAAACTTCTTTGGTTTGTTTAGAAATGTTATACACAATGTACCCTTTTATGTTGGCAGGATAACCTAGAAACACACATTTGTTTGCTCTAGGATCAAACTTGGATTTGTGAAGAGACAAAGTATATGAGAAACACAAGCAGCCAAAAACTTTTAGATGATGATAGGAAGGCAGTTTAGAATATAGGAGTTGAAAAGGTGAATTATTATCAAGATTTGGAGTTGGTGTGCGATTGATGAGATAGGCAGCTGTGTTGACACATTCTCCCCAAAATTGTAAGGGTAAATGTGCCTGAAAACGAAGTGAACGAGCAACATTAAGCAGATGCCTATGTTTTCGTTCAACAACAGAATTTTGCTGAGGGGTATAGATACAACTTTGTTGATGAACAATTCCCATTTCAGCAAATTCTGTGTTCATTTGAAACTCTTTTCCTTGATCAGTTCTTAAGGTTTTGATTTTGGTATTGAATTGTGTTGAAACATAAGATAGGAAGTGTCTAATATGAGTTCTTGTTTCTGATTTGGTTTGCATGAGGAAAATCCAGGTGTATCTACTGTAATCATCAACTACAGTAAGAAAATAGTATGAGCCATTTAGAGATGAGGTTTTCATGGGACCCTAAATATCAAGGTGAACCAAATCAAAAGGTTTTTCAGACTTATGAGGATTAGTGGGAAAAGATAATTTGTGTTGCTTTCCAAAATGACAAGCTTCACACACTTCAGTGAATTTTTCTTTAGGAATGTCACTGTATACATCATGAAACAACTTCATTCTATCTAGGGAAGGGTGCCCTAATCGATTGTGCCAAATGTGAAGTGTTACAGATTTATTGATTATGTGTGGAAGCATTATTTACAATAGGAAAAGAGATATTGGAAAGCTCTCTGACTATGTAGTATAAACCTTGAACACGTTCAGCTGTCCCAATCACTTACAAGGTGCTGGATTCCTGTATATGACAACCGGTTTTGGAAAAAATTAGCTGAAAGTTGTCATCTGAAACTAACTTTGCTACAGATATGAGATTGTAATGAAATGAAGGAACAAATAGAACTCTTTTAAGAGTGACATTATTATTCAACTGAACTTAACCAATGTGTGTGGCAATAGTGTGACTTCCATTGGGCTGATGAACGGTAAGTGGTGAACACAATGCATAATCTGTGAATAAGGATATATCACTGGTAATATGATCTGTTGCTCCTGAGTCTAGGAGCCAGATATGGGGTTGAAGTTTAATGGCAGAAGAAACTGAAACATGATTATTATGTATACCTTATTTATGGAAGGAAGAGTGATCTGGTAAGTTACCAGATGAAACCACATTATTTGAAGAAGTTATATTAATACCTCCCTTGATAAGAGCACAGAACTGTTGATACTCCTCTTGAGTCAAACTGACATGTCCTTTGCTTGATTCATCATTTTGCTCCTCATGCATTATGGCATTCACAGTAGGCTTGGTTCTGTTTTGCCATCCTCCATGATTGATAAGTCTGTATTTAGACACGCATTTGATGTGTGTTGTGATCGGATTTTGATGATTTTCCTATCTTTAAGGTGTTACAAGTCTCAATTTTAGCTCAAGTTATGTTTATCGGGCGTTGGTTCGAGTTTTGTGTTGTTTGTAGTCAAAATCAGGGAATTTCAGCCCGGTACCCGGCACTTGAAGAACAATCGGGATGATTTGAGAAGAATTTGAGAATGATTTGATAGCTTTGGAGGTCACCAGAATATTCACGATGAAGATTTGAAGGAAAAAGAGCTCTAGGATTGGCTTCGGGATCAAAAGAAGATGAATGAAGCTTGAAAACGACGATCAGGATGACCTTCTGTCAATCGTTCAAGCATATCTCTTTGTAGAAACATCCAATGTACACGATTCAAGTTTCATAGGAAATCCAACTTCAAGGGCTACAAATCATATGAAGACACCTTTGCGAGAATCTGAGAGGAAGAAGGTGAAAACAGACGATGAAGTCAAATGATCTCTGCTGCGATTTCAGAAAGACACCTTCCACCGTTTTGATCATATCTCTTGATTGGATGATTCAAATCACATTCGTAGAATTGGGGTGGATAGAGGACTTCATTATCTACAACTTTCATGAAGTAAGTTTTGTCAAATTCGGAAGTTAAGTAGGCACGATCGTGCCCTCAAAGTCAGACACGATCGTGCCTGAAGAGAAAAGCACCGTGGAGTTACTGCCAGCCAGGCACGATCGTGCCTGGAGGGAAGCACGATCGTGCCTGCCCAAAATGCGCGTTTTTGCTCCGGAGGCACGATCGAAGGCACGATCGTGGCTGGCATCGTGTCTGGCTCCGAAAATCCTAATTCAGCTCAAATTTCACCCGATTTTTCTATTTAAACAGCCTGTAAACCCCCATTTTCAAGGGGGAGCTTAGAGAGAGTGCCTAGCACGAATTTTAGAGGGCTTTTCAGCCTTGTTCATCAATCTTTTGGGATTCTTTGTAAGTTCCACCTTTTTAATTAATGACAATTAATTCTTTTTATTCCAATTCTATTGATTCTTCAATTATGAATTGTGAGTAGTTTTAATTAGGGATTTGGGATTGATGAAGGGGTTAATCATGATGTATGGCTAGATTCTTGTCGGTTTAAT